CAATTAAGCCCCACATCACGGGTACCCCAACAAAAAGGAGGGATTTGCGGACGAAACTGGCAGGTCCTTGTGTGAAGGCTTCGGAGAGGTCGAGAACCTGAGGACGGGACGGGCCCAATGAAGGGGTAAGGGGACTCAGACCCAAGATGGTGGCTCTTTTTGGACCCTTTTTCAGTTGGTTTTAAAGGAGAACCAAAAGGAAAACCGTTGCGGCATTTCGGGATGTCCACGAATTCAGCAGACATACCAAATGGGTTGTGGGTTTCATGAGCTGTAAGGTGTAAGGGAGTATCTGGCGGGAATGTCGCTTGACAGCGCCCTGGTCTTAAGGGTATGGGATTTGACAAAACCAGGCTCGAGGCCTGCGTTTGGGCCATGTTGAACGGACACCACCCATTGAGCATCAACACTTCTCCGAGTTGCCAATCCCTCAAGACAAGTCGCACGGCTAGCTCACACATCTTTGCGGAAGAAGTTTCTGGAATCCCTCTCGGGTGTTTTCAAGCTGGGTCGGCCTACAGCGCATCACATCATCGGAGAGTGAATCGTCGGATCCCTTCTCCAGGATGCAACCAGACACCTCAGCAACTGCTTTTCTCCCAGGTCCAAAAGTCGCCTTGGCACGGAAACCAAAAAGCAGTGGTTGGGGTTGCTGGAAATGACGGGATTTTCGAAACGGCTTGCAACACGGTAGCTTCGGAAGCCCAAGCAGGGCTGGAGTTGTTTTTTCCGGGTAACACAACAAACCTGTGCTTGTAAAGCCTGGATTGCCATGTGCCCTTTGCACCATGCCTTTATTCTCAAGGAATGTTGGCCACCATCTTCTCCCAGAATTGGGGGGGCGAAGCTCTTGGTTTTGCATCTTAAGCCACCGTTGTTCAAGCAAGCTCCTTTTTCCATGCCCCACATCGTGTGGGGTAGCCGCACAATTTGACATTGGCTCATATGGGTGCATTCATGATCACCGCCAACACAAAAGTGCCTTCTTTTTGTTTCCGCCCAGCCCTGCGTCCCATCCTGGCTGGCTTGCACAAAGCGAGTGTTACTGGCAAACGTCTGGATCGCCAACCAGCTCTTATTGGCCGAGCTTTGATGTTTCAACTGCCCCACCAGCAGATCAGCAAAGCGAATGGGTGCTTTTTGAGGGTATCCTTTTTCTGGTTGGTTTAAATGGAAATCAACAGCAAAACAACCATTCTGTTGCTTCCCCCAGTTTGACACATACTTGTGTCATGCCGTCGAACCCTCTTGAATTTGGAATGACGCGTCATGCATGCGCTTGCTTTACCACATTGCCGGACCGACTACGCCACACGTACGCCACACCCGCAGAGATGATATCCATCCGTGAGACGAGTTGGCGCCCTGAGTCCTCAATCCGATCCGCAAATCTCGAACCCCCGTGATGAAGGCTACTTTCTTGGAGTGTCCCGTTCCGGTTGCTTGTTTTTTGTTTTTTTAATTCTTCTTTTTCGATTTCACGCTGGCCGCGAAAAAATCGCACAGGATAGATACCGCTGCAGATGGTGGGGCTCCCCACTTGCGCGCGCACAGCATGCGTGAACGCATGTCTTGCAGCCATGGGCATCTCCAGGGATACTGCAGCCAGCAGGGTATGGCTCAAAATTAAACAGGAGGGATGACGCAGGTTTTGGTCCACGTTTCCACTTACCAGGGTTCCATTTTGGGTACCGGCTTTTTGAGCCACAGCCAGCACGGCAATACAAGCCAAGAAATACAGGCACAAACCTTTCGTGTGGTTTGCTTTTTCAACGATCTCGAGACACAGATACTCGCGTCAGCAAATTGTTCTACGCCAAGTGAGCAACGCCCAGAACCGGTTCCTATTGGCCATGTGGATAGGTGGTTGTTCTACCCGGTTCCACGGCGGTTTACTACCGCAAATTTTGACCCATGCGAGAGCCCAAAGTCTGTTGGTTTTTGGGTGCTGCTCAAGATCTTTGGCTCAAGGGCGACGGAGGATTTGGGGTGCCAATTTAAGTGATCTGAGTACGGATTCCGTGCCATTCGGCCACCGGTTGGGCAAAAGTCTCCTACATTCTCCAGTTGCGAAAGTAATCCTCTCCCTTGAGAAACGCAAGCCCCCCCTTGAGAAAGTTTAGTTCTCCCAAATCCCAAGCCCCCCCCATCGTACAATAGCAACTAGGCGAATATCAAGCCAACAAAGCCAACAAATCACCGGCTGCAGTCGTAATATGTGAGGAAAGAGCGCCTGATTTGCCCCACCAGTTAGCAGGGAACTCACCTATAAGAGCCAATTGCTTGGAAGGGTCGTTTCAACCGAAAGGTTGTTTTCTAGGAAGCACTGAGTTGTTCCCGACGAGGGAACCTGGCTTTTTCGATACCCCACCAACATGGAACCTTCCAGGACTATGTGAAAACGGGTAGCATCGCACACCATTCAGACTGCCTCGCTGTGTAGAAAAAAAACACAGCTCGGAGAGCCCATCTGAACACCCTGGCTGTGGCCCAACGGTTCCGCTAAGCTTGGCGAACCATCCGTCGCTTTGCGAAAAGCAACAATTCGCTCTTTGTTGTCCATGCTTTGGCCCAATCTCGTCTTTGTTGCATATCCGAGCTTTCAATCTTTTTCGGGGAATTCCCCACACACGCACCCCCCCCCCGCCGCCGCCCCCACACCCCGCCAAGCTCCATCCAGCCGATTCCTCGGCTAAGGCACGACCTTCGGCCTGGTGGAGTTCAAGGATGGGCAAACCCCGAAACCTGAGCAGAGCTCCTTAAACGATACATTTTGCCAATTTAAAACATGGCTTTTTCCACCAAAACAAAGAGAAACCACCATTTACAAGTTGCAATGTTCAGGTGTATAATGTAAGGATCCCTGCTGAGCTCGAAAAGTTTTCCGGATTCCGACAGCAATTGGTCCCCCAATTGGTGCAACCTTTCTCACCGCTTCTTTTTTGGTTGGGAGATTCGGTTCCCTGCTAACATAGACAGGGAAAAAAGTTGATACCCTTATTCTAACCTCTCAAATCTGGAGCACCTAGCCACTGAGAAATCGATTCCTCTACCGGGTCGCAAGAGTCGCAAGGCACTGCTTGCTGGACACTACCGAGTTTTTTTTTGTTTTTTCTCGGACATGGAAAAGAACAGTTCTTGGTTGTCGTAAGGAAACATTTTACATTTTTGCTTATTGTGGTTTAGTGGGAAATCCCCACTTAACTGCTAAAAATTGAATTTTTGCTCCCCTTCCAACGTCAACCAAGAGTTGCCTTGGGGGGGGGATACTTGTAACCCTCTGACTTGGCGGTTCCCAGCCAGCCGGTGCCTTAGGTGCTTAGAGGTTTTTGGGTTTTGGAATGGGGCCCAACATATTTCTTCTGACCCGCCTATGTGGTACAGGGAATCATACCAAGCCCACCCGGAGAAACCAGCAAACCACACTCCAGCTATGGATCCATATGGCTGTGGGTCAAACCCAATGGTACCATTTTGGGGTAGGTGCACCACCCATGTTGGTCTCTTTTTTTTAGTGGGGATTGGGATGTTCGCTGGGGTACGGGATTTTGACCCATGGCCATATGCCAATAGATATGAACTTTGGTTGGGATCAGGCCGGTGATGATCCGAGGACTTGGCATCTTGTTCAGTAACAAGTGAAGGAGTTACTTAGCAAGGCATGACTTGGCCAACACACCGCTCAAAAATTGGGTTGACCTTAACGGAGGGACAACATGAATGCGTTCCCAAAAAGAGCCATTCAAAGCCTTAGTGACATGGACACTAATTTTGATTGGGGATCCTATTCGACATCAAACGTGCGTGAGGGTTTCTCAAATGAGTGATCGCCTAGAATGCATTGATTTGTTGGTGTCCCTGTATATACCACCCAACTCGAGCAACTTCGACAATGATCGCCATTTGACGTCCGCCAACCATTTAGGGAAAGACCATTGACGAACCCCACTGAAGTGAAATTTCAATAAACTCCCTTGCCTCCGTTGAAACCGCAGTTGAGTCCAAGTATTCTTACCCCTCCGAAAATTTCTCAGCCCCTCAGACCTCGAGAGGTTGCTGTTCCCATCCCTTCACGCCCAGGAGATCAAGGTGGCCCACGCACAGACCTCAGCGTCCTTCTGGGCCGGTGAGGGCGGAAATTCGAAGCGGAAATTTCAAGGGTTCCCAAGCCGCATAGCGATGAGCGTACCGATTTTTGAGCCACAGCCCAATCTATCGCTAGCCCACCGTGCAGGGATCAACAGTCTTGCTTCTTGAGAATCCACTGCCCACCAAATGTGTGTGTGTGTGTGTCGGGAGACGCAGTGGTTGCCATGCCGAGACCACGACTTAGTCGGTGCGCATTGGCAAAGAGCAGGGTGCCAGACTGTTTCCTCAGGATTTCGACATGTGTTGACTATCCCTGATTTCTTCTCATCCAAATGCGTCCTTTTGGCTTCCTCCAAGGCAATCTCCAGGTTCATCATTCCCTGCTGAGCACCAGCAAGTGTTTTTTCTCTGCGGGGAGAAGTGGGTCGACATATCCAAATCATGGAGTTGAGTCGTTTGTTGATTCCTTGGCAGAGACATAACATCGTATTGACAAGGGATATTTCTTGGGCTGGGGGTACATGTACCAAATAAGAGCCGCTTTTTCAAGGGGCAAAGGTTTTTGACATCCTTTCCCCCACTCCAATGGAGATGCCCCCTCTTTGCGGGGTCCTTCCTGCGAGTGGAGATTCGCTCACATGGGTGTGTCTTTTTGAGACTTTCCTTTTGGGGTGGGTTTTAAAGCCACCGTGTTGGGGAGTAACAAACAAACCCCGGCAACTGGAGGGTAAGGGACAATCCCAGCCACAAATATGGGTGCAGATATCCTGTTTCATTCCTGAACAATGGTTCTGGGCTACCATTTTCGTACCTCTTACGCTTTTTTAGTTGTTTTTTGGGTTTAGTGTGGTTTCCGAATTTCATCAAAAGGTAACCCACTAAGGGCGGACAGCTGCACCCAGGTGGTGAAGATGCAGCGCTCCTTCCTGGTGGAGGACCGAGTGCTCGTCTTCACCGAGGCGAAACGAAGCCGCGGCAAGCGCCAGCCGAAGAAGCGGCAAGCCAAGAGTTGTTTTTTTCTCTTCCTCAGAATTAGCTCCCCATTTTTTTGTGTTTTTTTGCTTTGTTGGGGTCCCTTTGTTTTGCACTCACCAGGCAAAACAGTTGTTTTTGCTGGGGTCCTAATTCCAGCCTAGCTTTGTGATCGCGCCTCCAGAGCCAAAGGATTTCGGGTTTTATGTCGGTGTCCCTTTAAAACCACAAAAGAGGGGTACCATACTGCACACAATCATAGTTTTGCAGCACCATGCTTTGGCTGACTTGAAATTCCTGGTGCTGGCTTAAAGCAAAAGCGAAGCCGCGGTTTTTTAGTTGGGCCAAGGGTGGATCTGTTTGTCTCTGTGTCTGTCCGCCTGTCTGTGTGTTTGTTTGTTTGTTTGTTTGTTTGTTTGTTTGTTTGTCTGGTGTACTGTTTGTTTGGTTGTCTGTATGCCTGCCTGTCTGTCTGTGTTGTTTGTTGGTTTGTTCGTGCGTTTGTTCGATCGTTTGTGTGTCAGTGTGTGTGTGATTTGTGTGTGTGTGTCTTCTGTTTTTGTTTTGCATTGGTTTAGTTTGGCTGTTTCTTTGGTCGTTGTTTGATTGCTCGTTGCTTGTAGTGTTTGTCTGTCTGTCTGTCTGTCTGTCTGTCTGTCTGTCTGTCTGGCTGCCTGCCTGCCTGCCTGCCTGCCTGCCTGCCTGCCTGCCTGCCTGCCTGCCTGCCTGCCTGCCTGCCTGCTTGTTGTATGTCTGTCTGTCTGTCTGTCCATGTGGTGTTTTGTTTTTTTGCTTGCTTTGCTTGCTTTGCTTGCTTTGCTTGCTTTGCTTGCTTTGCTTGCTTTGCTTGCTTTGCTTGCTTTGCTTGCTTTGCTTCCGTGGGTGCGTGCGTGTGTGCATGCGTGCGTGCATGCGTGCGTTTGTGTGTGCGTGGTGCGTGCTTGCTTGCTTGCTTGCTTGCTTGCTTCGCTTCGCTTCGTCGCTTCGCTTCGCTTTGCTTTGCTTTGCTTTGCTTTACTTTGCTTGCCTTGCCTTGACTTGCCTTGCCTTGCTTGCTTGCTTGCTTGCCTGTGGTGAGTCAGTAAGCCTGTGTCAACAATTCCTGTAGCAAGATATTTGGACATTCCGGTCATGTTTGTGGCCCAAGTCATCCCGCCAATTTGCTGTCGATGACCTGTATCATGTCAATGTGCCACGTCTTGTTTCGGGGTTTTCTGTGAGGCTTTGGTGTTGCGCGCTTCCATTCGCCAGACTCCACACTGTGATTCGATTTTGCGCCCTCTGGGGCCGTCCGAGTCCCAGCCACGCAGGACAAAACTACATCTTTAGTACCATTGCAACTGTCGGATGTTTGCAAGAATTGCATTGCACAATGCTCCTGCTTCAATGCTGAGGTGTTGCTATGTGTGGGCTCAACAAAATGATGTCACGTTGCCAGGCGAAGTCTCATGTGGACAATGCCAAGGTGCAAGAGATGCCGGATGCCCAGTTCTGGCATGTTGGGCAAGGCCTTAAACCTGTGTATGGTGAACCCTGAACTACCGCCAAGCCAGCTGAAAACCAAAAGAAAACGACCTGTTCTTTGATTTGTTTTGCAGATGTTGCTAGTTGCTGCTGTTCGTTTCACTGCAGTGGCAGACATTGCGGATCTCCGAGTGCATCTCTATGTATTTCAGGGGTTATATAGCTGAAAATTGCCTGACTTCTGCTCTCCGATTGCTTTGTGTCCTTGCTTTGTTGACCCAAAGTCCTTTGCTTCCAAGATGCGAGTTCGCCTCTGCGCAAACGCAGACGGATAACGACTCGTAGGGTCTGCAGACTGCAGCGTAGCAGGTTTCAGAGGGGGTACTGGGGCAAGGATGGCCTTTAGGGGTGTCTTTTTTCAGGGTACCCATTGTTGGTGGTTTCAAAGGAGCAACCGGAAAACCGGCAATTTTCTTTCAGGGGGGTCCAACCTTAAAACAGACACACCCCAACTATACTTGGATGTGTCTCTCTACACCAGCGCTCCGAATTCGTTTGACATGCCAGAGATCAGTCAGAGTCAGATTTGCTGAGGATGGTCCAGTTCCAGGCTGGCTTCGGGTCTGTACCCGTGGGTTTGTTTTAGGGCTACTCTCTGGTCCATAATCTTGGAACCGCACAGGAAAAAACGAAAACAATCATGGAACTTCCTGTGAAAAAATGAAGCTGGCACTCACTAAACATAGACCCTCCTGCAAGCCAGGATTTTTTTCTGACCTAGACTGCCCGTAGACCCGGGGCATCACCTATTCGCTCAGGTCTCCTAACAAAAGCCCTGAGATGCGTCAGTCAGATGTTGCCAAGTGGAACTTCTCCATGACTGTGATACAGGCAGCTGTGCCCGGGGAGATTATAGTTGGTTATGTCCTCAATCTTGGTTACCCTCCCACCAACTAACATGGAAGAGCAAAAAGGCCCTTTCCAAGAGGAAAGTAGTCTTTTACAGGGGTTGTATCTCTAGGGGTTGATTCCAACCATTCTTTTTAACCATCGTTCTTTTCAAAAAGCAACTATTTTCCCAGGTTTCCGGAAGTTTTTTAGGAAGAAGGATCCCTGGAAAAGAATGGAAATGGAAAGTACCCCTAGAATATCCTCAATCTTGGTTGTGTCCTCAATCGTTGAGGACATTTTCCGGTTGGCTTTACCCTCAATCTGAAAGTAGCGATGCAGTCCGGTACCAAAAGTAGGGTCTGTATGAACCTTCCATGGGACCAAAAGTCGACGGCTTCTCACTCACATGCCAGGCGCCCATCATCGACGCCATGGAAATGCGTTCTGCCTGGGCCCCTTTTTCGTCTCGAATGGATCCGGCATGATCCGGCAGCCTCTCGCTGGGGGTTGCTGAACTTGAGTCACTTTCCGGGACCATTTTAGTGGCAAACACTCAGGTTTAGACCTTTTTTGGGCAAAACACTCAGGAAATGAGTATGAGCGTCCGTTTGTTTGAAATATATTTTTGTTTGTTGCTTTTAGAGGGATTATTTTTCACTACTGGACATGGCCTATATGGTTAGTTTTTCCAGGTGGCTGAAGCAAACGCAAGTGAGTCAAGCTTGGTGTTTTGTGCTTTTGACCACTCCGACGGCAGTGAAACCGAGCTGGCCCATGCGAGAGTTGCACTGGGCACGAAGTATCGTCGGGAGATTCCCAATTTTTTAAGCCTGCAGGCCCGCATGTATCCTGTTTGTTTGTAGTGCTCTATTGTGTCCATAGCCATGGGATCGGGTTTTGATCGGGCCTGGGAATCCCCTTTAGCGTGATAAAGTAGTTGTGGATGGTTGTTCCAAGCGGTTGTGGGCGGGGGTTGTTGACTCGTTGACACGTCGTTGGGATGTTGACTCAAAATGGTGAGTGTGCCACCAGGCACCTGGGGTTGGCTCCCAAGGAACGAAACGGAGTGCAATCCAAGGCCTATTTGACCCCCATATTTGAAGGAAACCAAGTCAAGACAAAATCTATTGTTTGATTGCCTTCCCCCTTTTCACACCCGCATTTGGGGCATAGCGACGTCCTGCCAAACAGCACATCAGTTTTCAGTACATGCCAAGCAGCTAGATTCGATGCTTTTTCAGGCCCCCTCAGACCCCAGAACCCCCCTCTCCAGACCCATTACACCTGGGCCGGATGTATTTGGGTGTGCTTGAACACGTCTTACATGTGTTCTTCTCGTCTTTTTTTTTTAATGGCATCAGCCTTGGGGCACAAGACTCGTTTGAGGTCTCGGGGGGTCAAACGTCCTTACATTTGGGGTCCAATGGGTCCCTAATGGTCAAACATGGTCACCCCACCTCTTAATCCTTGCTTGAAACATGACCAGAGCTTGCCTACATGACATGTCAACACCTTTTTCTTCCATTTGCTCAGAAGATTTGTTGTACTTTCCTTGTTGATTTTAGAGGGAATCTATCACTACTGGAAATATGTTTAATTGTTCCCGGGGGCCTAAGCAAATGGACGTTTTCTTGGACCTCTTGGTTTCCCCAAGACCAAGCCTCCCCCCCAGACGTCCCAAAAGAGCATCGCGTTGAGGTCCTGGCACAGCAGGTGCCCCTCGCAGAGAAGCTTGCGAAGGCCGGACTCCCATGAAAAGAACTGGGAGCTCCCGGTGAATCAACCAGAAGTTCATCAACCAATTTAGAGACACCTCAAAGCGTGGTTTGAGTTTTTGTTTCAACAAAAACGTGGTTTTGTCCAATCAGAAGGGAGACCCGCAGTTTTTCTAGGGGTTGATTCCTTTCCCATTCTTTTCAGCCATTGTTCTTTTCAAAAACCTGATCCGTTTCCCCAGGGTTGTGGTTTTCTAGCAAGAAGGATCCCTGGAAAGAATGGAAATGGAAGTTACCCCCACGTCGCTAGCTCAACCTTAGGTGAAATCTTCCAGTACTAACCCTGGTAGATGGGCTGGACACACTCATCTTCCAGTTGCCGAAATGAATATGTTTTTCATGTTCCCCCTGTTGGTGTTAAAGGGGATGTGTCATTACTGGAAATAATGTTATGTTTTGGCAGGGGACTACAGCAAATGGAGGTAATGGGTCGCGATGACTTCTGCAACCCTTACACTTCCAAACAACAAACAGATCTCAAACCAGCACCAGGGTCCCAACCACTGCTTTTTGGACCGGGGAAAGATCGGACATGGGAAAACGCAGCTGGGAAGGGTCTCTCAAAACGGGGATCAAAAGCGAGAACTCTCCTAAAGCGTTCTCAGATCAAAAGAGAAAGCTTTAGCCCATGGGAGCAAGGCCGGAGCGTGCGAATAGATGACATGACTGGCAGGCCACCTGGCTGACTCACATCAGAGACCAGCTAGGTCCCCCAGTGCCCTTTTACCCTGTTTTGGGGGAGGGCTCCGCTACCAAAATAGACTACGGAAAAAAGGGTACCCTTGTTCTAACCTCTCTACTGGAGGACCTAACCAGCAAATGGGCAGGGATCACAAAGAAACGGGCACGCGCCAAAGAAGCACGTGAGATATGCCCAAAACATGTCTCCTTTGGGACCTCTACGTTCGTTTTGATACTAGTACGGCTGCTCTTCTGATGCAGCGCGGAGTTTTGCCGCGCAGATCAAAATCAACCAGGGATTTGTTCATCAACTTGTTTCCAATTTTGGATCGAAGTTTGGTCAACCCCAAATTGTTGGCTTCCCTTTGGTTCCCTCTAAAAGCAACCCCTCAAAAGAGCGTTTTTACTGGGACGAAATCCCACACCGGTCGGGATTCGGCACAGGCATTAACACACCAGGTGCGAAGTGGCAATTGACGTAGAAACATCCAGGACGTTATTCATCCACCTTCCAGCAACCCCCCCAGATCCAGATTCCCATTGGTACTGTCCAACAAATCAGTTGGGAGCCCGTTGCTGGTGGTTTGCCGACTTTTGATCCTACCTCCAAAAACGGTTGCCTTGGCGGTTCCCAGCAATCCCCTTAGTTTTAGTGGTAGTTTCCATTTAACCCACTTAGAGTTAGTCACTCTAGCAGGGGATCTGCAAACGGACAGCCCAGCAATGCTCAGCATGGCCAAAATGGGTATGATATCTCACAGTAGCCAGACTCCCAAACTAAAAGTATGTTTCCTCTTTTCCCTTCTAAACCAAGGTGAAGCTGGTATGCGGAGAAACATATTATGCATCAAAAGACGCGCCAAGTTTATTTTTGGTGCGGAGGTGAAAGCCGCCGCGATGGAGCTTCGTGCCCAAAGCTCGGATTGGATGTCCACAAGCTGGGTGTGTGGATCACGCAACTTCTCCCCGTCTAGTTTGGCTGTGTCGTGGAAATAGGGTAACCCCAAAACGGATTCAAACACATGAAGGCTTCCCCGGTGGTTTCATTTTGACCCATACCCATTTAAAGATTTATATATTTTTTGGGTAGGCTTGGGGTTGATTAGAACAAACAAAGGGAAACCCACCCATTCTGGGGTCTAAACAAACACACACCATGTCCGTTTGGTGGATTTGTTGCATCAACTTTCGGCCATCGTTAAAAAAATGCCCCTAGTGATGTTAAGGGAGAAGTATGTGAGCCCCACTCATCCCTTCCAGTTTGCTTGGAGCTCCAAGAAGTGACAGGTTCATGAATTGACCCTTTGGCAGTTCTACAACTTTATCTTTGTTGCATTCTGCTTGGCTGTTACTAATGGGTTTTCGACTAAACCACTAAAAGTTAAACTTTTAGCAGGGGAGCGGTGCTTGGACTAAACATCTTTTCGTTGGACACTTTGAGTTTTCCCTTGGACCCACAAAAAGTGAACACAACTCTTTGGGTCCTCGCCGGTTTGGGCAACCTTGGGAGGGCACCCGGTTTGTCTCCTGGGCTTCGGGATCCGGCGAACGAACCAGAAACGTCAGCTTGAATGAGACCCTTCCAGCCCGCGACGATCGCTTTTTGGGCACTTGGGAGTTTGGACATGGGAAGAAGCCGTTGGGAGATGTTTTTTGTTTCTTCGCAGGCCCTTAAAAATGAATGACCCGAAAAAATGTGCATTGTTTCCCATGGAGACTGGTTGTTTGGGCGAACAAGTGAAGTTTGGGCCGAAGTTGGTTTGGCCCCTCCAGCTAATGTTTTATGATGTCCAGGATCAATGGTTTGATAATTACCCTGGATCCTAGTGCCCTTTTTCACCCCTTGTTTGGTTGGGAGGTTTCCCCTACTAAAATAGACCACAGAAAAAAGGGTACCCTTGTTCTATCCTCTTTACTGGAGGACCTAGTACCACTGACCGACCGGCACAGTGACATGGTTGATGGCAGCATGTGACCCAGGCACGTGGGTTGCGAGTGCACTAAGTGCCTTGTGTAAGGCATGGCGCCAGTCACTTGCACGCGAAATCGTACCTTTTGAGAGAAACTCATGAAATTCGGTTCACAGGAGAATGAGTTTCCCACGAGCCAACATGGATCTGCACGGACCACTTTTGGAGCCTCACTTTTATGTTTGATGGTGGGAGGGTAGGACCCCTAGACGTTGTTGACAGTGTCCATGCATGGAATTTCCTGCAGGACTCACCAGTGGTCTCTTAGGTGAATATCGCGCCTAGCACCGTCTAAACAGCAGGTCAGTCAGAGTTAGAGCTTGCCAGATACAAGGTCATAGGTGTTCTTTTCAGGTCAGTTTTGCTGAAATTGATGGCACTAGTTTAGATTGGTGTTATTCCATTTACCAGGGCCGTCTATTAAACCAGAAGGTCACCTATGTGCAAGCTTTGCAAGGACAACAGCGATCACCACCGCGGCCCCACCGATGGTGACATGCACACACCTCTGGAACCATGGCGCTCGCCGCGTTCTTGCGTCAAGATTCGGTGCATGAGCTGGGGTTTATCTTGCTGGTGCGATAGGCGCGGAATGAGAAATGGAATGAACCGTTTTGGGCATCCCGAATAAAGGAAACCACCAGTTGGGTCTGCTTTTTCTTGGGGTCATTTTCCATTCCTCATTCCCTGCAGAGCACCAGCACGCGCAAGTTCTGGACAGAGACTCCTGGAGCTTGATTCAAACTGGCGGGGAGGTCGGGGATGTCGTCCAGGCGGACAATCTACAGGAGGGTGCCCCAGCAATTGGTGCCCTTTCTTTTGCCAACTTCTTTGGTTGGGAGGGTTCCATACTAGAATGGACCACAGGAAAAAAATAGGGTACCAACTGATTGTAACCTCTCAAATCTGGAGGACCTAGTCTAAGACTAAAAACCCCCAAAATGGCCTGAGGCCAAAGAGCCCGAGAAGAAGAAAAAGGCCGAGTCTCGCGTCGCGGCATTCGACGACCGGCAATGGCAATCCGGGCGAGTTCTCCATATGGCCGTGGGTCAAAATTAA